CGCACGAATCAGAACATACATGCACGGGGAACGTCCGAGCCGCAGCAAGGCGAGAGGGGGGCTCAGGGGGAAGGGATGTGGGGGTCCCAAATCTGCCCCGCGTGCAGCCGGTTGAGGCCCGGGGCCTCTTCCCTTGGGTGTACACTCCCGGTGCCAGGACGCGCCATGCAGCGGACGGCTTGAGCTGGTTCGCTCCGCCCCTCTGCTGTAGTCAGCGCGCCTAGTAAGGACGCGCGTTTTCATCTATGGCACCCTTGTGTCCTTGCCTCTGCGGCCCGTCCTTCGCCGTTTTCACGGGTCGCCCGCCGACAAAGAAAACCCATGTTGGGCCTCCAAGGGTCTTGCGCCCTTACCAGCCGTCCTTCAAACACCTCTTTTGGCTGCGACCGGCCCGAAGAACGACGACCAGGTCGGCGCAGGCGCCGCCGTCTGCGTCGTCGTACGGCCGGCGGCGGCGGCGGAGGAGCTGATCGTGGGCCTGGGCGCCGCGCTGGCGCTGTCCTTAGGGGTGGCGGCGCGAATGGCGCTCGTGGGGAGCCCGCCGGAGGAGCGGGGCGCGCTCCAGCGGGCCCTTATGGATTGAGTAGGGAATCGACCGTAGAATGGATCTACCCCCAAAGTGAAATTCTCGTCGATCCTACGGTCGTCGAGTCAACGAACGTTGTGTGCATGCTCGTAGATGCGATGATCAAGAAATCAATGTTGGGGTAAATCCATTGTGTAGTCGATCCCCTTCGCGAAGAGAGGGGCTGGCGAGGTTGCGGGCTTGCACAGACGGCCCCCCAGGCTCCCAGGTAGTCCCGCTTTCCCCAGCAGGCCCCCCGAATACAGTGGAGCACCATGCCAAGAAGCACCTTGCTTGCCTCCAGGGTGCCCCAGATTTCTTGGGGTTCGATCGTTCTGCTGGAAAGCCGAACGCTCCCGCACCAAAGATCAGTGGACGTCCTTGGGTCTCAAGGCTGGGCTCCTTGTGGGAGGTGTCTCGTGGTCGGGCCCCGCCCCTGGGGCGCTCCGCGCCACAGGGTTGACCGCCCCGGAAGTCTCGGTCGGGAGGCCTTCGGGAGCCTTGAGACGGGGGTCGATGCAAACGGGGGGTCAGCCACGGCACCGGATCCTGCAGGATCCTGCGAGGACCCCCTCTGGCTGACCCGGGTTAGCGAGCCGCTCGTGGCCGCGAGGCGGCCGCGCATATTGGCTGACCGGGGTTTTTGCAAAGACCTGCGCCGCAGTTTGTTTGTTCCTGCATTGCAGTTTTTTGGTTTCCCGCTGACCTGGGTCAGAAGATCCCCGAGGCCTGCTGAGGCCAGCTGGGATTGTTCCGGGGGCTTGCTGAGGAAAGCGGGACGCTTTCTTTTTGTTCTGCAAAGCCCGAAGCCTTGCCTTTCTCCAATTTTTGAACGGATCGCGACTGAAGGTTTTGGGTCGTTCTCCGCTTCCAGGCAGCCTTCCCAGGCCCATGGGACTGTCAACAGCACGTGTCAGCCCGGAGCCATCCAAGATGCGCCGTGGTGGAAAACCTCCTTGGAATGTGTCGGGACTTGGGGCTGGTCCTTCTCGCCCCTGCTCATGGCAAGGACGAGAAGGCGGAGCAGCCCGAGGACATTGAGCTCTGGGGTCTCTGGAGGCCTCCGATGGCCCCTGGGGAACTTTGGGGACCTCCGTAAGGGCCACCAGAGAGCTCTTCGGGGGGAAGGGTGCGTAGAGGAGGGGGAGGAGGAGGAGGAGGAGGAAGAAGAGGAGGAGGAGGAGCAGGAGGAGGAGATGGATGGACAAGGAGGGGGAGGAGGAGGGGGGACAAGGAGGGAAGAGGAGGACGAGCATGAGAAAGAGAAGCATGAGGAGGAGGAGGAGGAGGGAGGAGGGAGGAGGGAGGAGGAGGAGGAGGAGGAGGAGGAAGGAGGAGGAGGAGTGGGAGGAGGAGGAGGAGGAGGAGGAGGAGGAGGAGGAGGAGGAGGAGGAGAAGGCAGGAGGATAAATATGGAAACTGAGGGGAGTAGAGGGGAGGGGGAGGAGGGGTGACAGAGGGAAGGATAATGGAGTTGCTTGGCGTGCCTGGATCGCCGTCCTCCTACTCGTTGTCATCGTTTTTGTCATTGTTCTCGATCTATTCGTCCTTATCGTCGTGGTCCTCCTCCACGTCCAGTGGAGGAGCACGGACGAGGAGGAAGGAGGAAGGGGAAAGCAGGAACATAGAGTGGAGGGGGGCAGGAGGCAGGGGAAGCACGTGAGGTACATGCTGAGCGACCCTCGAGTCGCGGCCGCCAGGGCCAAGGCGGAGGACGAGGAGGAGGAGCGGGCAGGGCCCAGGGGCGGTCCCCCGGGCCGCCCCCATGGGGCCGAGGACGCCGAGGCCGCACCCGTCGACGGCGCGGCGTGGCGGCGCCGCCGCCGCCGCGCGCTCGCGCGCCAGGGGAAGCCCACGGCCCGCGGCAGTGGAAGCCACCACGTCGGGCGATGGCGCGCGGCGTCGACGCGTGTGCTCTCACGGTGCCGTGCCGCCGCGCTCGGCGGCTGCCCCCGCGCCTCGCGCGGGCACGGTCTCGGGAGGCTCGCTGCGGGAAGGGGAGAGCGCCATCGGGAGGAAGACGCGCTCGGCCGCCGCCGCTGTCGGCGCACGTTCCCCAAGCAGTGCTTGCACTGGTTGGGGTCCCGGCGGGTATCGAAAGATTTGGCGAAGGTTTCCCGCCGACGTTGGTGGCCGACTGGGTTCCTGGGTTCCCGGTTCGGGGTTCCCAGGTTGGTTTCTGGGCCGATTTCGGTGGGTTCCGGTTACCCGGGTTCTTGGTCGATTCTTTTTATCGATCTCTTCATCGATACCATTTCGAACCATCCTCTGATTGGGTTTCTTTCTTTGGTGCAGTTTCTTTTGACGGTAGCCTCGTCAAGGTTCCCCTCTGCCTGCTACTACTGCTGCGCCCGAGCGCGAAGCATCGCCGCCGCCGCAGCAGTGGCTCGCTGTGGAGAGGTGGACACCACCAGACGAGAGAAGAGGTGCTCGACTTATTTTTGGTGGCTCTTTCGGATGCTCGAGGGTTTTTGCACGTGTGTTAGAGCTTCCGGAGATGGGGAGGGCGGAGGAGGAAAATGCGGATGCGGACCTGAAGGGCACGGAAGAGGAAGGGCATGAACAGTTCTTGCAGGGGGGGGTGGGGGGGCGCGACAGTGCTGGGGGAGCGCGAGGAGCGCCAGCAGCATGAGAATGGAGGAGGAAGCGGCTGCGGCGACGGCTGAGATGTCGGACGAGGCTATGGAGTGACTTGGAGTGGCGGGGGACAATATCGAAAGAGAGGGAAAATGAGGAGGGTGAGGAGGAGGAGGAGGAGGAGGGATGATGAGGAATACTGAGGGCACAGGAGGAGGGGGAATGACATGATGCGGAGGAGGACGCAGAGGACGGACTTGGGGCAGACACGAGAAAGGAGGCGGAGGAGGAGGATGATGATTAGGAAATGGATGGCGCTGAGGAGCATGCGGAATAGGACGGATCAACAAGATGATGCGTGTGAGGAGGAGGAGGAGGAGGAGGAGGAGGAGGAGGAGGAGGAGAAGGAGGAGGAGGAGGAGGAGGAGAAGGAGGAGGAGGAGGAGGAGGAGTAATTGGACATTGGGGGGACGAGGATGACGGCGAGGAGGACGCGAAATTGGACGGGGAGGAGGATGGGGACGAGGAGGAGCCCGCCAGAGGACGCCGTCCTCATTGCCATCGCCATGGCGGCGACGGCGCCGAGGGCATCAAAGACCAAACGGTCGTCGAGACCCTGCCTCCTATCCTTGCTCCTGTACGTTTCCCTCCTCCCCCTCCTCCTCATCCTCCTCCTCCTCGTCCTCCTCCTCCGCCTCCTCCACCCTCTTTCTCCTCTTCTTTTTCTTCCTCCTCATCCTTCTCCTCCTCTCCTTCTCCCTCCTCCTCCTGTCCTTCTCACTCTTCCCTCCTCATCCTTCTCCTCCTCCCTTCTCCTCCCTCGTCCTCCTTCTCCTCCTCCTGTCCCTTTCCCTCCTCCTCCTCCTCCTCCTCCTTCTGCCGTGTTCATCTTTTGTTCGTGTCCCCCACGTCGCCTAAGCAGGGTGACCCCGCGGGGGGGCAACCTTCCGAAGGCCGGCAACTTCTGGCGGCGGCAGCGCCCAGCGGCATACAGGTCACGTCAGGCTTTCAGCGCTCAGCTCGCAATGCGCGGAGAATTCCCTCCACTTCCCCCCGAGGTGGTAGCTAATTTGGCGGTGTCGCTAATGGGGGCACGAGTCAATAGCCCCAGTGCGTTCATAGGAGACATTGGATGTGCTTAGTATTTTGCGATGCAGTATTGGTTTCTTCAGCCAGGGATTGGCGCACGGCATCGTAGTGCCGTGTGTTTTCTCGATGTGGGACGTTGGCAGCACGGGGGCTTACGTATGGTCTGGCCACCGGGGTTTAGTGCATATGAGCATCAAATGCGATGTCTCCTGTGCGGCCAAGGTGTAGATTTCTCTCCCTGGTCATGGATCTGAACGCGGTGCTGCCTCGCAGCACGTCGAGTCGAGCTGAATGCAGCGCCACCACTACATGGCGAACAGCCGGTGACGGATGACAGTTGACACGTGTTGGCGCCCATTATGCACGTGACAAAAAGTCAGGTCGTACGCGCATCGACCACGCACGTTTCCCCGCTGAAATGCTGCATGCAACTGGGACGGTGCAGGTACTCATCCTGTATGCTCGCAGAGAGCAGCTCATCGAATCACCAAAAGCACGTGCCCTTCGCTACGTTCGCGTTTTGATTGCAGCCTTTGCGCAGGTAATGCACCGCAGTGCAGACGTATTCACAGCTATGCATATACGAAGGCGGAGGAGTGGTGTGATGTCGATAGTATGATCGCACTGAACATGCGTGTCCTGGCCAGACCGTCTGTGAGCGCGTTGAGCGGCTGCCTTGCAGACCGTGCGCCGCAAATAACTTGTTTCATTTGCTGGCAGAACTTACAAGCAGCGCTGAGAGTTCAGAGGGCAAGCGGAGACATCTACCGACATCGAAGAAAGCCGCCTTCTGCATGCTACAAGGTCGCATATGTTCACCAAGTGGGATCACGCACGTGCAAAGGTGCCGCGATGCCACAAAAGCAACGCCGCAACTCCCAATTAGAGAACGCGCGCTTATCACGACGATCGTGGTGGGCAGTTCCGCAAGGGCATCATGCAGCGCATCGCGTCATCACGTCCTTTCAGGTGGCGAGACAGGCTCGCATGGGCCGCCCGCGACGCGGACGTTTCGCCGACGATCGCAGGGGCCGTTCGCGCCCCGTCATGGAGCAGGTGGCAGGTCGCGCTGCGATGCACGGCTGTCGCCCCCGCGCGGGACTTACCTTATTTTGGGACGCCGAGTGCCCGGGCCGGATTTCCCTCGCAGCTTGCGCGGGCGGCATAGTGCACCTATTTCTGGACGCTGAGGATGGGTATGGGGGCGCGGAGTCGCCATCGCGGTCCAGATTGGGTTGCCCGCGCGGACCCTCGTCGAGGACGAGCGCCCCCCCAATCGCATATTTCAGGGATGGAGCCAGAACTGTCGGCTAGTAGCTGTTGGAATATTGAGCGCGCTGAAAGCAGCGCGCCCACGGCAAAGACCGGTTCGAGCACCCCCGCGCCCCCGTTCTGGATGGAGAGGGCAGCGAGGCGATGGCTTCCGATGCCGGACCAGCGCGGTTTTATCTGGTCGAGGATTCGCGGCGCATGGAACGGGCCCCGCAAGGGATGCAGATGGATAGCGCCCTGACAGATTCGCCCCTGCGAAACCTGGCCCCGTCCGATCCACGCGGCGGCAAGGCGTCGCCGCGCGATCGCGGGCCTGGCGGCCAGTGGGGGGCATCGATTCGCGCCTTCGTTTTCGGCCGTGAGGATTCGGCGATGGAAAAAGGCAGCAGGAATCCATGGAAATGCGAGACGTAAGTTCTCAACTCCTCCCGTCGGCGCCCAGGCGCGCCGACTGGCGGCGCCGCGATTGCGAGCGGCCGGGCGACAGAGCAAGCGTACTCGCAGACTAAACGGGCACTGCAGGAGTCGGGCGTTTGCGCGGCCGGGTGCCCTATGACATCAGAGTCGGGCCGCGATTGATTACGCGTCGGTCAGTCCGCCGCTGAGGGGCCGTCTCGGCCAGCTGAGGCCGCGATCGCAGGCGCGCGGGGCGACGCTCGTGCCGGGCGGGCCGCGTGATATAATTCAGCATAACAATCGCAGCTTCCGCGGGCGGGGGCGCTTGGCGCCCCGCGAGGGGGGCTTTGGAACCCTCGCGCGGCGTGCTATACGTGCATTGCCCAGTCCCACCGTCTGCCCCGCATGATGCGGGGCGCGCGGCGATGTCTCGTCGACCGTCTGGCGTCAACCCGCCGCGAATCAGACGCGACCCGACGTGCATCCGACGTGGACCCGACGTAAATTGGCCGCATGTGGCCGCGCGAGGCCTCCTGGATTTCCCCCATGAAAAGTCTCAGGTCGGTTGACTGCCAGTTGCTCTCGGGCCCGGCACGCGGCGCGCGCGGCTGCCGGCGCGACCTGGAAGCCCGACGCGCCGTCAATCAGCGTCGGCGCCTCCCGCCCGACGGCGCGCGCGCGCCGCGACCCGAGGCGCGCGGCGCGGCGGCCGAGCCCTCCAGGCGCGCGGCAGGCAGCGCCGCAGCTTCTTCCAGCGGGGGCCCCGGCATGATGGCGGAGGTTCGCGGGCGGGAAGCGCGCTCGCGCCCGCGGCCTCGCGGGCCGAGCCCCTGGCCTTTAGCGGCGACCCCGCGGGCGCGGGGCGCTCCCCCGTAGATGCCCCGCGCGGGGCGCCCCCGCGCGGCGGCGCATTCGCGCGGCCGCGCCGCAGCATCCAGACCGCGCGGGCGCGGGGGCGGACGAGAGCAGTTCGCGGCTCGCCCGCCGACGGCGGCGGCGGCGGAGGCAGACGGGAGAGGTCGCCGGGCGAACGGGGCGAAGAGGCGGGGCGGCAAAGGGGTCGACGTCGCGCTCGGAGTCGCGCGCGCCTCGCCGATTCAGCTGTCTCGGTGCGCGCGCGTTGGGGGGCGGGTCGCATCCTGCGATGACCGTCGTCGAGAAGGCAATGGCGGTCGCGGAAGCGCATCGGTCGTTCCACCAGGTACTCTCGCAGAAAGAGGCGGGCGGGCCGTCGTCGACGCGCGAGTGCCCCATCGCCTGCCCCTGGGGCCCTCGGCGCCCACCTCGAGCTGAGAGCGCGCGGGCGGCGACCCGCGCCGCGACAGGGAGGTGGCCGTTTCCGGGCGCTCGAGAGCGGGGGCCGACGGACGTTCTGGTGGGGGGGAGCGGGGGCGGAGGTGGCGCGCCTTCCCAGATGGTTCAGAGGCCCCCCCCCGCCTTTTGGGGCAGCTCCGCCGCGGGGCGGCGCCCCCCCCCCACCCCCACCCCCGCGCGCGACGCCCTGGGGAGGCGGCCCGAGGTCCGCGCCGCGCGCGTTGCGCCGCCGCTCGCGCTGCGCGATTAGCATCACACGCCCGAAGCTCCAGGCTGCGCCTTGCCGAGGCCGGGCGCTCGCGGCCGCGCGCGCGCCCGTCGCTGAGAGAGGCAACTTTCGGCGGCTGCGCTCTGCCAGCGGCGGAGGCGGCGGGCCGTGGCAAAGGGGGCGAAGGCGAGGGCGGAGCGCTGGGGCCACCCGCTGCAGTTGTTGAGCCCGACCGGGAAGTCCACCTGCAACATGGGGAGGCGATGGAGAAAGGGGGGGGGCCGAGAATGGCAGGAACGCGGTCCGAAAGGGGGGCCCCCAGGGCGCGCGAGCAGCGCGCTTTCCTTCACCCCTCGTTTAACCCAGTCGGTTCTTTCATGTCAGCTGCCCCCCGACCCCCGCTTTCGGCTGGCAGATCGATTCGTCCTTGATCTCCTCGTCCTTCCCCTCCTTCTCCTCCTTCTCCACCTCCGTCATCATCGTCATCGTCGTCATCATCACTTTCATCAGCAACGTTCGGGATCCGCTTCCTTCCTTCTGGTCATCAGCGGTCGCCGCCGCGGGGGGATACATATCTTCTGCCACTTAGCCCTCGCAAGTCATGCTCCCACAATTCGTGATTATGTGTTCAAAGACCCACGACACATGCCCCTGCACAACCCCACCCCATGCAGCAACGATTGGCATCCTCTAGTTGAAAATATGGACAATGAAACACTGTCCACCTTGGGTTCAGGAGGGGCGTTATTCGTTGGCCGCCCCTGGTAGCTGGTATCTACGGCGGTGGACCTCCTCGTGGCCGAAGCTTGCCGCGGTCAGGGAAGCCCCTTCGTGCCCCACCCGGTGTCCGTCATGGTGGCACGTTGGCGGCATGGAGCATCTGGTGCTCGTGGAGGTTCGTGCGATTCTTCTTTTCCTGGCAGCGCTGGGAAGCATGGAAGGGCGGCCCATCGGTGGTTAAGCGCGGAGGGCCGACGTAACAGGGCAGATGTGGAGTTGGATCGAGCGGCATTTGAACAAATGTAAGCAGCAAGTCGGCTCGCACACATGCAGCAAGCGTCGAGACGGCATGCTGCGTCGGACCTCGTAGCCCCATCGCATGAACAGCACCCCTGGCGCCAGGAAGCACATGGACATCTGTTCAGATTCGGCACCTCGCAGAGGCGGATCAGAGTGAGGGGTGGGCGCGGGGTGGGTCGCGGGTGGGTCGCGGGGTGGGTCACGGCTGGGTCGCGGGCGGGTCGCGGGCGACAACGACGACGACAACAACGCGGCAACAGCACGCAGAACCTGCGCCGC